ATCCATTTTGCTGCCCCTTTATGTTTGGTGACTTACTTTTTTAACTATATTTGAAATTTTGTAATATGTGTTCTTACTGTTTTAAATACAGAATTACATTAAATAATAAAATAAAAAGATAACATATATTACCTAACTGAAAAACTTTACTTGTTCCATAAAGTTTATATATCACATAAGTCAAAATATATGTTGTGTGTTGGTTACAGTTCCCGAGACAAAATTACCTAAACAAGCATTTAATCTCCATGAAGCCTCATTTGCCTTTACTTTGATGTCTTCACAAAATGCATTTGTAGGTAATAAAAGATTGAAAGTATTAACTTAAACTAATTACTTTGAAATCCAATATAAGTAATGCATTAAATTTAACTTGAATTTTACGAATTTGTAAATGACAACTTTATTAAAAAAAAAAACTGCAGTATATTACCTGCCACCATCTGTATATGTAAAGAAAGTACAAGTAGTCTTTTCAGTTCAGAAAATCAATATTTAGTTTTCAGTGCATAAGCAATGAATTAGGGTCTCCACGTAATATCTTTATAATTTTTATGTGTATTGTGATTTTTATCAGGCACAGTAGCTCTTAACGAAACACCTTTTATTTGCTTATATAAAGCCACAACTCCATTTTTGGTATTTAGGTTTTCCTTATTTTTATAAAGAGTTGATTAGATTTTGGATAAAATTGGACAACCAGAACTGGAGCCTATAACAGCTTATGGGAAAATTCTATTAAAATATAATCCAAAACTTTTCAATTTTAGTATTTAAGAGTTTTATATCAGTGTGAATAACGTTAGATCTTAGCTAAAATTGATGAGCCAAAGTGAGACTATGTGAAAGCTTTGAGACACGTAAAAAATATAATTCTTAAATTTGTTGTTTTAAAAATCATACGACATATTACATTTTTTAGCATTAACGGAATTTTACGAATTATGTTGAGCGCAGTGGCAAAAGCAACTAAATGTATTATCCTGAATTTTGTATTTGTTTCGCCTTCAGGCCAAACCACTTCAAATATCGATATATATTGTTTTGAAAGAAATAATGTAACTCAACAGTGCAATATAAAAATGCATGGCAAAAACTAACGCTGCGTTAGGCCCTAAAAGTATGCCGATTTTAAAGGGTTTTTATTATTTTATGTGAAAAAAAGAAGTGATGTTCAATAAATAAAGCTGAGAGAACAAATAAAGTTGGTCATCTTATTGAGGTCAGAGGATGCATCCAAGGTTAATGTAATATTTTCAAATCAATGCATGAGAAAAGGGTGTATCTGAACATGTATAGTTTTCATTGTTTATCATGTAGAATAATGAGTATTATTTATAATTAACATTGAGTCATAAAATTAATAAAGAAATTAGATTTTATTTACAGTCTCTCGGAAGTGGGTTTACTTAAGCCAATGAAAATGCCATCATATGCTGGCCACATCTGATTTTTTTATTGAATGCCTAAATATATATCATTTGCGTGGTATTTCTGTAATGAAAATACTGCAGTATTTACTCAAACTTTAAAAATATATAAAATAAACTGAAACACTTTTCAAATAAGAAGTCTTGGGATAGTTAGTTTGTCTAGTGAGAGCGTTAAGACCGACAGTGAATAATTATAGTTATCTCTGGTAACTTCTTTCTTTCCTTGTTGTCATTGAAAGTTAAAGGGTTGTCGGAGTTGTTATTTTGACAGTATTGTGATTGACATTGTGGATGATAAGACTCAACAGTATCCTTTTCTGCATTTCCTTGATCCAGTTAGTCTGTCTCTAAAATCAGGCCTGGCCTTAACATGTCGGTAATGTTTGAGTATTTCTGTGGAACCGCAGCTCTCGTGTGCTAAACATTGCAAATTTTATCCTTTGCTATAGAAATAAGTTGGATGTGTTTGTTACATTGTGCCAAATATCTACACTTTTTTTTTTTTTTTATTTTGCTTGCATCATAATTAAGATTGTATGCTCTTACCAAAGGGTGGCACATATGCTGAAGCCTACATTCTTTATCCTGCTGATTTAGTGCTTGGAATAATTGTGTGAAGGCTGCTGAATACACTTCTTATTCATGTCAAGGTTATATATTGAGTTCTTTGACAAGGTACTGTAAACATTATTACGGTTCAATGCGCATGGTTAATGCCCATATCTTTTGTGCGTTTGTATCCTTGGCATTCAACAGGACAATGCAGGTCTGTATGCTTTGTTTCCTCAATACATGGGATGTTTGCCTACTACTTAGGCCGGTGTGTTCACCAAGTATTTTATTAAATGAAAATATGTGGTTTATATGATTGCAGAGAAACTGGCAAAACTGCACTCTCTAAGCAATATGATGAATATACTGGCATAAAATTGAAACTGGATGGACTGTAATATCACAGATGCAATCTAGAGTCACTGGGGTCCAGTTGTGTATCAGTTGATGTTGTAACTAGAGATAATCTACCTCTAGGAGTATCAATTTCAGCATAGCATGTGTGGATACTTAAAGATTTCCTGCTTTTTATCCATGCATTAACACCTACAAAGAGGTTGCATTGTGTAAGAGAAACAGCATTCTCCCTTATGAGTAATTTAAATGAAATTTTTAGCATTTATACTGTAGATTAGCTCAAGGGGATATAATAATTGGAATAAGTGTAACTGTACTGGTGATGTCACTGTCATCTATGCATAGACATTTGTAGTCAGTCCTATATGGTATTTAAAGGATTTAGAAACTGAAATGAGATGTATTTTTGAAGGAAGCTGTTGTTTGGGCAGAGCTGTCTTGTGTTAGTAATTATTCTTATCATCCTAAACAGCACGACATTAGATGTATTTGGTTCTCTAATATGCAAGACAGTCTGGTAGCTTATATAGTTTTATCGTCCTACAGAGTGTGTTTATAACATTTTCTGGGCCAATTAATTAATGTTTAAAATATAATAAGTTGTTTTTTAATATTCAATCAAATGGTTGTTTTTCTGGACTCTGGATTTTTCCCTTTCCCCCCAAACCATGATTTCTATGGTATAAATGCTTATCTTAAAATTTCCAGGTTTATTATTATCCACTACTTTCCATCAGTTATGTCAGGTTTGTGCTTAAAGTGCTGCTGCTTTTCGAGAGACCAAAGGTGTGACACCATGAGGTGTGTCCGTGGGTGAAACAACACGACTTTGCAGGAGTGCAATGAAAAAGTATATATGCAGTACATGTATGTCTTCTATGTCTTCATTTTTTCAATGAATGCAACAGTACTATATAAATTGCTGATTTTCTGTATGAAGTCTTACTTTTTGAAAGTCACTGGGTGTAGGAAAATAGAATTTCTTCTGTAAATATTGGATGTAAAACTGTCTCTTTATAGTACATTGATTTTAATATTTTCCCCCACTCCTCTTTAATTGTATTTCTGCAACAGTCATAAACCCCTTATTGAAACGTTATTTACATTAAAGGAACCATGTTTTGAAGTCATTTAGGAATGTGTTTTTCTTCATCGAGGGTAACAAAAGTATTTCGTTTATTTCCTGCTAAGTTTTCATAGAGGGTTCTGATTGTGCATTTGATCCACATGTCTTGGCAAAATCTGGTGAACATCGTTTTTCAGCTTTTTTAAGTTGTAAATCTTTATTTTATTTATTGAAAGACTTTGCAATTGATTTCTGCATCTACGGATACTCTTTTGTTACTAGCAGTTTAATTTCACAAATACCTTACTACTTGTTCATTTGATTTTTTTTTAATACATGTAGAAGTAATCAGATGGTTTCTCCCTTTCTGATAAATTTTGCATATTTTGCATTTAGAAGTGTTAATACCATGCATTTTACATTTTTGAGTACCGGAATAGGAGTATTTTCATTTATAAAGCTCAAAAACATATCCTTCAACTCATAGCTTGTTATATGTGATATTTTGAAAGAATAATAAATTTAAAGTTGTGGGCGATATTTCGGATAATAAGCTGTTGCCAGAAATGTTTGTTCTAGAATACTTGCTTCTCCCTCCCATCTCTTTATCAACATTTTTTCCCCCCAAAAAAAAAAAAAAAAAAAAAAAAAAAAAAAATGTGTAAACATGCTCTGTAATGTCTTTGTTCTTTGTATGTATTGGCACTCTGCTATTTTGCCTAGTCTGTAAAATTGCCATGTACTAGTTCAAATAGAACATTGTCTACGTAATTCACAGCTTACTGAGTGATGTGAATGACATCTGCAAGGATTTAATACCCTTTCATGGCTATCCAAATCGTATCATTAAAGTGCATCAAGAATGTGCTACAAAGGCAGTTTAGGCTCTCTCAGAATACTTCGATTTAGCTGACTAGTAGCAAAAATTTTGGCAGAATTTGTATGAACAGCTATAAAATTCTTAAACCAAATTTTGGATTGTTTGCTAATGGAGGATTCATCAGTTACTAAAATGTAATCATCTTGTTGCTTCCATCTCATAATAGAACTTCCTTTCTCTCCAGAACTCTAAATCATTTGCAAATCTTTTAAATTATGTGCACATGCAAATCTCGTGACTTTATAAATGTAATTTGAAAGTTGGATTAATAGGAAATAGTGAATGATGTAGTTTAATCCCATGTATACAGCTTAGCATTCTTGATGAGGCACATATTCTGATTTAAATGCTGTTACTTTATAATGCACGTAATCATATGAAAACGTATTACTGTAATAATTCGCTTGTGAAGTGAGCATATTTAACAGGGTTAAAAGTTTATGTAAATGCGAAAATAGTGTTTTAATAGGCAAAACATTTCTGCATGATACAAGCATATTTTAGTCTTGTTCAAAAATATGATTTGCATAATTAAAGTTATGTAGGTTTAGTTATGTAAGTTATGTAGGAAAGGGAACATTTTTTAGAAAAAAATTATTTTATCCAATATCAGTTACTTTTCCGGAATGTTTTAATGTTAAATTTCGTACTGTAATTCGTATTAATTCTGTAGTGTTTTTTGTTTCTAATTTGCAAATGTAATTTTTTTCAGGCAGCTATAAAAGGTCTTGAAATGGGTGGTTTGAATATTATTTCCATAACTGATAGAACCCCTTATGTAATTGGAGGAAATCGACCCAGGAAAGCAAAGAGACTTTAATTTTGAATAAGATAAAGCTTCAGTTCTTTCATGTTGTGTATCACAGACAACTTCTGAATGTCAGTTTCAATCATCATGCCTTCATTTATTGTAGACATTGTCCTTTTTAAATGTAATTAATCTTTTGTAAAGAGAAATCATTAATAAAGATAAAAATTTTTAAATACAATTTTTGAGTAATGTGTTTTTATCTTCTGTGATTAATAATTGTTGCATTTCATTAAATCTAATATTTACAAAAATGCTTATTTTTATAAATATTAAGAAATTGCTTGTAACATGCTATGTAAAATCGGTTCCAGTTTTTATGAGGAAGATATATAATACTTGATGTTACTTATTTGTAGAAAGCGCTCTTATCAATATTTTTATGGTTTTTTCTCCTTTTTATTTTTAATGCTTTTGAGAATTTAACAATATAAAATTGAGTCTTTAAGAACTATTTTAGAGTATACTGCAATAAAATTTTTAATGCAAAAAAGGATTGTTAGGGAAAAGCTTTTCTTTCCTGAGAGTTTAGAATTTGTGTGTAGTTTATATTCCTGGTTTAATTTTCGTCTTTATCTTAGATATCTGCCATTTATAATTTTAGGAATTGTGAGTAAAATTTCTTTAAATTTGAAAAATTCAACACCTAAAGTGTTTTTTTTTTGGGGGGGGGGGGTATTGCAAAAAAATAATTCGAAATTAATTACCCTGTTATATTAAACGTTTTTTCATTTTAAACATAAGGTAACTTTTTCACTGATTTTTATAAACATTAGGTTAATGTTAAATGGCTTATATTGTTATAATGTTTTTATTTTGTCTTTGCTTCATAAATAATTAACATTATTTAGATTTTAGAATTTTCATTTTTTTTTTTGGGGGGGGCACTTATTTTTACTTTTGAAATGGTATAAATGTTGTATTTATGAATCCTTAGAATTTTACCAAATTTTGGTTTGTTTTAAAATTAATATTTAAGTAAAATGTTGAAAAAACTCTTTTTAAGTGTTTAAGAACTGTTATGCATTTTTTAAGAAATGAATGCACAAGCATACAAGGCAAATTATCAGCATTCCAAATGCAAGATTCTTGCCTGAAATGCCATTCTAAAAAGCTATGCCTGATTTAATGCATAGACTACAATTAAGAAGAATGTTTAAAAATAAAAGAATGTTTTATGCAGTGTTTCTTCAACTGGGACATTTTAAATTCACATTAAGTTGTATGTTTTTTATTATTATTTGGGTCAACATGCTGTTTAATAAGCAATGTGTATTTAATACTTGAGGTTCAGTTTATTTTGTCATATAAAAATGTGAAATTGTACGACCATCTATTATAAGAATTTATTTCTGCTATCTTGTTTGGATTTTTTTATTAGCAACCAAATTTGTTTCATTTACAGCTGTTAATTGCCTTTAACGAACTGTGTTTATATATTCCAAGAAGTCATTTCCGTATGATTGTCTATATTGAAATATTCTGTAAAAGGTATCTCAGTATGCATGGTTTATATTATATTGGATTCACTAGTGGTAATTATTAGTATATCTCTCTTAAACTGTGAATCTTGTAAATTTTCTAAATGAAGATTTGGTCCCAAAATCCTGAAGCTTGCAAAAATGGCCTTCAGTGTGTCGTATATATTTTCTTGATTATGATTCCTAATTGATACTTCTCCTTTTTAGGAGAATCCTAAGGCCTCCATAAGCTCCCAAAATGTTTTCCTATTTCATCTATGCTTGGAAATCTTAAGTAAAATCATGCATAGATTCAAGATGTTTGAAAAGAGGGTGTAGGATTTTAGATTTTTCATGGTACATTTGTAAAAGTGAAGGATTTTTGAGAAACATTAAGTATGATGTGAAAATTTATAAATTTTAATCAACTCGCATTTATTAAACATAATCAAGGTTGAAGCAGCTTGATGAGTAATTTGTTGCTAAGGCTCATTAGGTAGTTTTAGATTGCCACTATGAAACAAGTTAGTTCGCAGTACATATGTTTTTATGGTCCCTTTACCATAGATTGTATAAATGAGAAATTTCCATTGTTATTTTTGAAATTATCACTTGGAGGCAGATGACAGAAACATTGTTTTTTTATAGTTAACTAGTCTAAATCTTTTGATTCAATCCAGAATAATTTCCTTGTCTAAACAATAACAAAGTGATGACTGCATAGTTGTAAATAGAACATTTTGTGTAACTTGTATAAGGATTGTACCTCATATTTTTGAAGTAATATTAAATATGTTTAATTATATTGAGGATAGCAATTTGTATATTTATGAGCCTAAAATTATAAATAGTATTTACTTGAACGATTTATCACCTGTGTTATTTCTTATTCGGTTTTACAAGTATCGCCCTCGTATTCATGTTTTAATGCTTTGTGTATTTTATAAAATTTCCTAACATGTTAAGGTTATTAAATTACTGAACATTGCATGTGTATTGGAAATTAAAATACCTTTAAGAAGGAGGGCTTCTTTTACATAACTTGAACTCTGTGGTATAAACTGTTAGGCCACCTTTTGTATGTTTTGCCACATTTGTAAGTTTTGATAATTTAGGGATGGTACTCTTTTTTTTTTCCCCCTTTTAATTTTATAGACATTATTATTAACCAAGTAATGCCTAGATTTTTTTCATTTATTGAGCAAATGCACAGAATTTTAAAATTCGTTTGCATGTTCTTGATGTTATTGTATTTACTTCCCTTGGCCATTATGCATGAAGGAATTATTTCAGACATGACGGAATGTTTATGTCGCAATAATATAACTAGTGCGTTGCAGTTAATGCTGTAATAGACATATTTTTTTAAGTATCTCAAGCACTTACCACTGAAGAAGGGTTTTGGAGATTTTTTTCCATAAATTGTGGATTTTAGTATTAAATTTCCAAAAAATAATATAGCATCAATATGCACCTTATCAATATTAAAAGAGCTGAAACAGTAATTTTTAGTGCTATTAACGAGCCGAAATTTTCTGCAGTCTCACGTGACTTCGCGAGACTTGCTACGTCACACTCGATTTTGGAGAAGAAGCAGAGTTAAAAAATGGTGATCCGAGCTTTCCTCATGTAACGTGGCTTAGAGTACCGTCGCTAAGTTGACCTCAGCTAATATTACTTGGTTTTGCCAATACGTTTTTGTGATTAGTGAATATTATTTCATTATTTTTATGTAATATATAAGCTGTTATGTATTTTATTTCTGTTTACGTAAGCCTTCTTGAACCTCTATGCAGAATGGCCGCTGTGATACGTGGTCTGCCATTTTGAAATCGTAATCGTACATCTGATGCGGTGCTCACATGAAATTTTAACTCATTTCATAATACATTTGATGCTTATTTTTTGTTATAATAAGCAAATTTGCGTTATTAAGGATAATATTTATTGTGGAAAAAGGTGTTTCAGCGAAATTCTAAACTAAATATGGATGAGGTAAGACAATGCTTTTATCAATTTTTAAATGTAAACATCGGCTTATTTTTCCCTAAATTTATGATAAATTACCAGTTTATGGATTTTTTTTAATCTATAAAATGTGTTTAACTGTATCGATTTGTTATATTTAAAGAATCTGTATTGTGCTGACTATACGGCAATTGCGTAGGACTTATTTTCTTAGTGTTACGAGGTTTGATTGATTGTTTATGCTCTTTTTGTTTATACAAGTTATTTCATTTTCATTTAGAATCAGTTTAAAAGATTTTAATCAATCTTGTAATTAAACATACAATGTAATCTTAAATCATATATGTGTTTTAAAGATTGATATTTTCACTTAATTTAAGAGTTTCAGCCTCTGTATTCTTCAGCAGCTTAAAGAAACGACTAAATCACAAATTATATAATGTGTTCCAACATTATTTTCATTGCAAAATGTTATATTAAGTGTGCTCAATAACTTCAACCAAAAAATGAAATTTTTTTATGGGTACCCATTTTTGCTATGAAATGAAGTATGTTACATGTTGACCACTGAACTAACACATCTTATGGTTCCCCCAAATTGCTTATATTAAAATATTAACTTTTTTGTTGTTTAATAATGCTTGTGTGAATAAGGAGAAAGAATCTTCCATTGTGAACTTAATTTTCATATGTTGAACTCTTATTTCTCTTTGTTTTTGGTATGAAAAGCTTTATTTTTCATTTATTATGAATAGTAAAGTAAAATTCAAGTTGAAAGTGCCTGATAAATTTATTTGTATGCGAGATTTTAATGGTTCTTATGTTCCTTCGTTAATAAAGCTTGTTCATAAGTAAGTTGCTAAAAAGTTCAGAGTGAATTATAGAATTCAGTTAGTATGTATTTTGACATGCATCTAAAGCAGTTTTGATGAAGTTACAAGACTAAATATTGTGTTTCAGTTGTCAGAAACCTTATGTCATTAAAATTGAACTGTATAGTTTCCATTTATTGTTATATATCCATTCAGATGGTGATTAATGGGATTAACCTGTTTTTGTGATACTGTTTAATTTATCAGATTATGATAACAAATTTTGTTTAAAGTAGTCTTATTAAATGTGTACATTTGCTAATTTTCTTATTTTTAAAAAACATTCCATTGAGGTAGGAAATTTTCTATCTCCTAAGTTAAGTACATTATCAAAGCAAACCTGTATTCCATGGATCAAGTACAAGTGAAAAAGTTGTCTGGTGATAATTGTCCGGAGCTAGTTTTATCAACATTTATCGATATTTATTTGTGTTGTCTTTCATTTTATTTGGTGAATTATATAAATGATTTCTTAATCTCATAATTATAAAATGTGGTATGCCTATATATATAGTATATTTCGTTTTGGCCCTTGAATATAAATAATTCAATTTAACGAAAGCAGTATTGTATACTGTTGTGTATATTTCTACACTTGCACAAACAGATAAAAATTGTTCAAATAAACTAGATGTTTTATATGGAAGTTGTGAACTTCTGTTAAGAACAGATATCCTTTTCCAAAATGAATGATGTTAAAATCTTTATAAATGGTTGTTATTCTTTCGCCTTGCTCATTTTGAGTATTCTTATGTAAAATCCTGTTGGTATTTTGTTTATTTCCATGAAAAAGCTGGGCTTATCCATTCTATCCAGCCTATGAATTATATTTCGTGTTATATCAAAATATTATTACTTATTAAGCTTGTTTTCTATTGCATTTTTTATATAAAATATGAAATAATTTTTATTTCTTAATTTTTTAAATAATATTTTAATTAAAGCAATGCTGTACATAAAAATGACTAAATATATTTCTACAATTAAAAATGTTAAAAAAATCTGAAATTTTTTAGATATAGATCATAAAATGTTATAAATTCCTGTCCCTTTGAAGTTTTATGTTCAACATCTTTGTTTTGTAATCTAATTTATTTTTATAAGTTTATAATTATTTTAAATATGAACTATTAGTGTATTACTATAATCATGATAAAAAAGAGTTTTTTTCTTTAGCAAAACAATTTGTCTTCCACTTTACATCAAGTCCGTTACCTTGATTATTTTGCCCACAATTAGTTTGTAAATCTGCCTGAAGGGGGCCGTACATATTTAGCGACATAGATAAACTAGTTGGGCTTTTATCTTGGTCACAATGTATTTCTCAAATCAAATTTTAATTGGTACTATTCGGTTTTGAGGACTGTAAAAAATTCGCCAAACTATTGTTAATGCCAGTGCTGCCAAAAATAATTGCGGCAACCCTAACGCAAGAAAGGAAGTATAATAGTAAATAACTATCTAAAAGATTGATGTTTTAATTTAGATGAAAGGTTAATTTCATGTACTTGTAATTGTCCTTGCACGCGCAAATTTTTTATCGTACAATATTTTGATCATTTGCGATGTACAATCAGTTGATCTAAAACTTTGCGGTGTATGGTATGGAAAGCAAATAGCCCTTCAGCTAATGCTAGCTGTTCCTCCGTTAACAATATATAGTCCTTGATGAGAGGTAATTACAATGATCAAACATCACCGAGTAAAATCTAATTCGTTACATCGCCTAATTTAGTTTACTCTGCATGCATTTTATGTGTTTTTTATTTCTTTACATTCACTATAATAATTAATAAATAATAGGTAATATATTTTTACAGTTCATTTAAAATAAGAAATGCAGATGTTTTCTAAAAATCGTGAATAAACTGCTATGTCATCGAGATAGGCAGAAGCAAAATCTTTGTATTTAGCGAATGCTTGGTTCATCAATCTTTGAAATGTTGCAGTAGCGTTACATACCTCGAAAGACATGGCTTCAAATCATATTGAGTTTGATATGTCTCATGAAAACCACTACTGAGAAAAGTAGGAGAATTTAAATATTTTTTAGTTAAAATCTGGATAGTGGTCGAAATTCAAATGGCAATCCCCCCCCCAAAAAAAGCGGTTTTTGAGCTCGCACAAGCATCATTCAGGCAGCTGGCATAAATCCAATTTTCACAGTTCAAGTCAAATTGTCTTTGAACGTGGCGGCACGCAATGAACTGGAAGTTGATCTGTCAACACTATCGTTATCTTCAGGGCAGATGTTTTTATTTTATTCAGCTTATAATTCCTTATTAAATGTAGTATTTCATCTCGATGTACTTTGTCTTTGATATGATTTAAATCAAATTCCTCGTCATTATAAATATCACGAATACAAATCAAATGGTTTTCTGGTTGCAATTTTCTAATTTCGGCTATGCATAATGTATGCTTTACGCATGCGCGCGTTGAAAGAAATGTTTAATAAAGTAAACAAATAAATATTAAGCTTTTTTTTTTTTTTTTTGTAAATTTTGATACCTTTTAGATCATAATTGCTCATTATTTTATAAATTACGGTTTTATATTTTTAATTTTATAATTTCTGCATGCCATCTTACCAGATTTAAACTGATGATGTATAATCCGGAAAAATCGATAATCCGGAATCACCGAAGTCCCGTCGAGTCCGGATTAAAGACTTTTGACTGTATAACTATATTCACCAAAATATCGCTGAATATTAAAATTTAATTTTTAATCTTGAAATAAGTAACTTTATTTTAATGTTATTCGTATCATTTGCCGTGGCTTCTTCCTTCTAAATTTATTTATTAGTTAATAATATTTTCAAATTTCAGGCAGTTTTCTCTGTCATACTTCTGAAGCTAATTGGAGCAGTATATTTGTTTTGCAGTATAAATATTACAGTCAAAAGTCTTTAATCCGGACTCGTTGGGACTTCGGAGATTCCGAACTATCGGTTTTTCCGGATTATAGAATCATCAGTTTAAATTTGGTAAGATGGCATGCAGAAATTATAAAATTAAAAAAATGAAACCGTAATTTATGAAATAAAGAACAATTATGATCTAAAGAGTATCAAAATTTACAAAAAAAAAAAAGCTTAGTATTTATATGTTTACTTTATTAAACATTTCTTTCAATGCGCACATGCGTAAAGCATACATTACGCATAGTCGAAATTAGAAAATTGCAACCAGAAAACTATTTGATTTGTATTCATGATATTTATAATGACAAGGAATTTTATTTTAATCATATCAAAGACGGAGTACATCAAGATGAAATACTACATTTAGTAAGGAATTATAAGCCGAATAAAATAAAAACATCTGCCCTGAAGATAAGGATAGTGCTGACAGATCAACTTCCAGTTGATAGTGCACCGTCATGTTTCTCCCCCTTCTCCCGCAGAGCAGCGTGAAATTGATACAGATTTCAGAATGGTTAGAGAAACAAAGGATATGCCTTTATCCATTTTTTGTTTGGACATCGAAACATGCTTTCCCTTTGTAGATCCAGCATAGGAAATTCTATTTGACATAATCGAAAGTTCCAACTTACTTTTATAAAATTGTTCTAACAGTCTGCAAAAAGTAATAAGCCGGTTCTAATTCAAAGATTAAGGAACAACGCAATCTGCAACATTAACTGAAATAGATAATTTTAGCTTAGCTTATACCGTCCGTTATACATTAAATGCACATGCGCAGAAAGTTTGTAGTTTTGAGGTCCGCATTAAGGAATTTTGACTGTAGTAATTAATTGTAGACTTCTTTTTGTGTAAGTGTGCATTATAGGCATGTATCCCTCCCAGTATGTAGCACTCAAACTTTTGTCTTCATTTTACTTTGGTTTATACAGCTTCTAAAGAACATTATTCAGAGTATCATCGGATATATTGAAGAATGTAATTTTACTTTTGCAATATTAATTTTGTTTAAATTCTTCATGTTGCTCAAATGAAGATACGTAACTTATTAAAGCAGTTGTAAATTGAACATATTCCTTCCTCAATGGCATGGCAGCCCAGAGTGAGCCCTGACCTTTTCAAGAATTTTCTTGTCCATGGTCTTCCAGTTAATCACTGTGACGAGGTCCTCTTCCAGGCAATCAACCCATCTAAGGCTGGGTCGTCCAAGGCTTTCTTGTCCATGGTCT